CCCATGGCTCCCAGCAACACCATCCCAGGTTCCTTTTTTTTAATGTTTTTTTAAAATTTGTATTTATTTTTGAGAGAGAGAGAGAGAGGGGCAGAGAATCCCAAGCAGGCTCCATGCTGTTAGTGCAGAGCCCAACACGGGACTTGAACTCATGAATAGTGAGATCATGCCCTGAGCCAAAATCAAGAGTGAGACACTTAACTAACTGAGCCACCCAGGCACCCCATCACCATCCCGGGTTCTAACAGCCTGCTGCAGTAGACACATTTTGCAAGGGCTTACCACCCTTCTCAGAGAACTGCCCCCGGCCCACCTCTCCCCTGAGCTGTCGTCTAGAGCAGTCCTGGCCTGGGGGGACCAGAGGAGAGGTGGACATCCGGACTTATCTGCACCATCAGACCCTTCCTTCTTGGGCTCTGGAATTGGGGCTGAAAGATGTTTGCCAAGCGTCCCTTCAGGTGACTGAGGGAGAACAGACCAGGGAGGGGACTAAAGGCCAGCCAAGCTCGGCCAAGGGCCAGAGGGCCAGGGAGGCCTCCTCCCACTCCCCGCTGCTCACAGCCCTCGGAGAGACCCTCCGCTCCTGGGACAAGATGGGATATACTTGCCAGGCCCCAAGCAAGCCATGCTCTCTGCCTAACACCAGGCCTGGCTTCCCTTGTACCCCCACACCTGGGCAGGACTCGTATGTCTGCAGGGGAGATCCCTTCCTCTGGGAAGGGAGTCCGGGCACCAAGGGCAGATTGATCCAGGAAGTAGGGTCTAGAATAGGAAGGGGTTTGTAGCCCCCACATGGGGTCTTTGCTGATAGACTCTGCTGTCTCCTTCACTGATCTGCTCTGTCTTGGGGGTCAACACCAGCTAAGGGGGAAGAGCTCAGGTGTCTGAGTTAGCCGGCCACACTGGAGACCCTACTGGCTCCTTACTAGCATGTGACTGTAGGCAAATCTCTGAACCTCATCAAGTCCAAGTTTCCTCTCTGGGCTTCCTATCAGGGTTTCGGGGAGCTAATGTAGGTAAAGGGCTAGCCCTGTGGCTGGCATAGAGCACACTCCATCATCGGTAATGGTTGTCCTGGTTATGAATCAGTGAGTGAGCTCCCCGTCACTGGGGGTGTGTAAGCAGATGGCTGGGGATCAGCTGTCGAGAATGCTACAAAGAGCATTTACAGGCTGGGCAAGAGGAGAGATTCAGTGACATCTAAATTTCTCAATCTCAAAAGGTCTCCCAGTTTCCTTCCTCCAGCAACTCACCCCCGGCCAACCTTGCCACACAGCTGAGCTAAGCGCTGATTGTAGAGGGCAGGCGAAATGTCAGAAATTTCCCCCAGAGACCGAGGCAGGGGTTTTTGTGGGTTTTTCTTTTTTCCTCTTGCTTGCCGGAAGCACAGAGTCAATAAAACTCCAGCAAAATGCCCCGCCCACCACACCTCGGCATTAGGTGCTCACCAACCCCCCAGTCGCTGGGCCATGGAGAGGGAACATAGGGGGAGGGGAGTCCCCTTCTTCACAAGTCACAGCATCGAAGTGGAGGGAGCCGGGGACCCAGACATCACTCTGCCTCCACCCACTTCATCAGCAAGGCAGGGGTGAGGGCAGCTGGAGGGCATGGGAAGGAAGTGTCTTTCTTCCTACAGCTGGAATCATGGATCCTATGGAAAGTCACAGAGCCCTGTGGGCCACCCTGACTGCAGTTGTCCCGGGGAGAAGCAGCGTGTGAGCGGCCACACAGCACTGGGCCAGTGAGGGAAGGCTTCATGGAGGAAGGGGTGCCAGGACTGCAGCAGGGGGAGGGGAAGGGGGCGGTGCAACAGGTGCAGACAGAAGACCCAGAGACTTGAAAGCACACAGTGCGTTCAGAGGACACCAAGCACAGCAGTTCTGGTAGAAAAGCCAAAGGAAAGAGGCCGGAAAGGGGACAAGTGACATCACGACAACAACAAGGAGCAATAAACAATTGTCAGGGGGACAAAAAGCAGAGCAGATGAAAGGGGGTGGGAGGAGCAGGGTGGCTCTGTGGCCTGATTGTGTGTCCCCCCG